CTAAAATATTTTTTTTTATTTCAAGTAACGAAAATGTGTTTTTGTTTAGTTAAAATCATGAAAACTAGCTGAAATAAAATATTTTTTTACATTTTATTTTATTTCAGCTCATTTTTATTTATTTCTGATAATGAATTTTGTATGGTTTTTAATTTTAGGTAATGTTTATTTTTAGTTAACATTTATTTGTTGAAGTATAATTAATATTTATTTATTTATCTATTGTTTGTTTGTTTTATTTAACTATAATCCTGCCATTAAGTGACTTTATTTCTTCTTTGGAACACACAAAAAAAAAAAAAAAATATATATAATTTTTATTTTATTTTTTGTACAATGAAAGTCAATATGGGGTCTGTGTTGTTTGGGGTTCTTCAAAATGTCTTCTTCATAAGTCACCCAGGGTTGTAGAGTAAATGATGACTGAATGTTGATTTTTGGGTGAACTATCCCTTTAAGGAATGACAGAGTGGGAGTTTAAGATCCGCTGCTGGACTCTCGAGGCTTTACTCTCCCGGGTCAGCGGCCGGCCTCTGTGTCCTCACTGACTCAACTGACCTGTGCTTGATTTCTGTATTTCAAAGGGACTTTCTCTATCTCCTCCCCCTTCTCTTGTCCTCTCTTGAGAAGGATCATGCAGTGAGGTCGGCAGCTCTCTTTCTGATCTTGCGCCTCCCACACAAGCTTAAGCTTGTTTGCTACGTGAAGAGCTAATAGCCACTATTTCAGAGTTTCACTTGGAGGCTCCTCATTTTTATTATAACCCTTTATTGGAGGCCTGTATTAGATCATCTAATCTCCCTCAAATTCTCATTACTGCAATGCACAAATTAATAATTTGGGGAAAGCATGTGTTTAAAATTTAATGACAATAATGTCAGGATGCAACAAAAAAATAAAAATGTACTAGTCTTAAAATAGGATTTTGTTTATGTACAGTATATTTTTTTTCCTGTATTCGATTTATTTACACTTGTTTACAGGATGAATCTCGCAAAAGCTTTCAAGTAAACATCCAGGTCATAATCACAAGTCGTAAGAAAAAAAGATTGTGTTTTGCATAAATGTTTTTTTTTTTGCATTATGACATTCATTTCATGATAGCACATCTCCTTCAAAGTCACAATACTGCAATGCACACATTAATATTTTGGGGAGAAAACGTGTTTAACCAAAATGTAATGAAAATAATGTCACATGCAACTAACAAACTAAATAAATAAATACAATTCTAATCTTAATATAAAGTAACATTTTTAATGCACAAATGGATTTTTTTATTTTATATTTTATTTTGGGATGAAATATAAGCTGAAATTGTTTTTATGACTTTAACATTACAATAAAGGAGATTGGATGCCTTTGCTAGTCATTTTATTTTATTATTTTTTTATTATTATTTTTTAAATATGTCCTATAT